CATAAAAGAGAAGAAAATCAGGAAGTGCATGCTTGTTGACATAGTAGTACCATCTGAGAGAAACACCTCCATAAAAATTATCAAGAAATTATCCATATTCAAGGAGCTAGAGATCTAGATTAAGAGGAAGTGGGCAATATAGACTGAGAGTGTACCAATAGTAATCGGAGCTCTGAGCCTCGTGAGAAAAGGAATGGACAGTTTTACTAACACTCTCCTGGGTAACATCAACACACAAATTACCCAAAAGATCGCCCTACTAGGAACATCCCATATACCCAGAGAAGTGCTATCAGTTAAATGACAATTCTCCTGTAGATCCTAAGGACCATAGTCTGGACCAAGCTCTACAGGATACAAAGCCGGAAATATCACATACACAAATGATAATAATAATAATAATAATAAAGCTAGAAATTTGTTACTGTAGGTTTTTAGGTTTGCTGTCACTCAAATCAATGAAACCATCTTGCCAGTTGTTATAAGAGCCTGTGAACGGTACCGAAAAAGCTTTGCAAGAAGATTAGAAGATCTAAAATTTAGGAGAAGTATGTAATAAAAACTGGTGATTTATTTTATTTTGTTGTCTCATACCAACTGAATATCTCACTTAATCCTTATTGCCGTGCGTAGCGCCAGAAAGTAGTTAAATTACTCGATCTTCGCCGCAGACATCATGCTGTACCTTTTAAACTCCTCCACATCTTGCAATGAAGAAGTTCTCTCTGGTAAACGGATTCTTTTTTATTAATATTAAATTTCACACACTCCAAAACCAGTGAGCCATTCAGGTCATAGGGTTACAATTAACAAAATAATATTGAGTGATTGATTTGTTTTTATGGTATATAAACTGCCTGCAGGTTATTTAAAATCAGAAAATATTTTTAGATTGTAAGATTGTTGTGGAGTGATTTCACAGTGTAGGCTTGTATTTGTACTAAGTCGATCCTAAAATAGGTTCGACGTACAAAACGTTAGGAACTTGATATAATAGGTAATGACGCAGAGAAATCTAGTTGTGATCGCTGATACTTTAGTATCCGACTAACGGTCGTACGGCATCGACTGACTGACAGACCGACTCGTTACTCTAACTACTCCTACTTACTATAGGTGGGAGAGTATTAACTATAGAATAGGTGTGTTCCACTATAAGATTTTTTAGATAATGCTTTACTAGTACAAGTCTTACTTATTAATCCATATCTGGGGGGAGAAGCGATATATTCATAACTTTACTAAGGGTATTTTCGCGTAAGTGAATGTAACGTACCCAACTCGGCTTCACGGTTTCAAATTCCGGGTCGTTGTTCATTACAACACCCGCACATTCAAAATTACATCACATGGTACTCCGAAGCGGTACTGACCAGGCTCGACGTTGGCTAACTTCGGTGGTTGTTCAGAAACCAGTGTTTCAACGTGATGTGTCTGCAACCCTTACAAAATGATAATAATGAATTCTGAAAAACGGAATCGTTTTTATGCTAAACTTTACCCATTACAAGGTTCTAAAGCCACTCAAGTTAGAGGACTACACTAAAAAAAAAAGATGAATTCTGGAAAACGTATTGGTTATACTTGATTTCATCCAATACACAGGGTGAGAGCCACTCAAGTTAGAATTACACTCAACAACAAGCTAATGTTAAATGAGGTGCGTGCGATGGATGGAAGAGAAGGTCGTAATAAATGAAGTTTATGAGAATAAGAAAGAAAGATCACGATTGACTGACCTGAAGAGGTTAAGACTGAACTTTACGGGGAAGCACTCAAATTGAGGTTGATATACCGTAAAAAAACAAACCAAATTGCAATGAAATTGTAGTCGTTTTCTCGGTGCTTGGAATAAAATTCCCTAATCCCTTCCATTCACCAAACTGCGTTGCACAACACAACACAGCACAACACATGTCTTCTGTTCGCTTCCCCGGCTGCACTGCGCTGTCGCCTCGTAAAGCACTTTTTGCAACTTGAGTGACAAGTCAAATTTACATAGGTGCCAAAAAAGAGTCTCGCGAAAGTATCTGACTTCAAGATCTATCGTCTCTTAAATGTACGACTCGTAAAGCCTGCCATTTTCTTTTTGGGATACTTTTAACGTGAGACACGCCCGAACCCGCTTTCTACCGGGAGGTAAGCCATTTTCTCTCTTGTTACTGAATTAATATGAGGACCTTGTCGGAGAACACAAGTAATACCAGGAACTTGCTCGAGAACTGAATAGAAAAAAAAATCTGTGGAACATAAAATTCCCCGGAAGCTCTTATAATCACTTTCGGGTATAGGCGACTGGTAGAAATTAAATCAGGTGTCACTAACAGTAGATCTTTTAATTATTTTCTGAATATATTACTAATTATTAACGACAAAAATGCATTGAAATATTAAGAAAAAGGATGAATTGTATTTAATGCAAGCGTTAATGACAAATAATACTGAAAAATATTCTTCTTTGAAGATGTGTCGTGGCACTATAAAATGTAGGTGATAATGACTCTGTAAAATTTCCAGTCCTTCTTAGTTCTTAAGTTTTGTGTTTTTGCTATCTCTCCTAATCCCCGCTCTGCCATCCATTTACACAAACTCTTTAGGCAGGTTACTCGCTGCTTTCCTCTGCCTCTCTTGTCTTTCTTGTGAGTATCAAATTTTCCAAGCCCTCTTTCCTCATTATGTACGCCATAAATTCCAGCTTTCTCTTTCTGATTCTAACTATAAGTGCCTTTTTTGTTTCCATTTCCTTAAAGCTTCGTCTTTGCTCACATGTTCAGTCAATGGTATTCTCAGAATCCTTCTGTAGAACCACAATTCTCTTGCATCAAGTCTCTTCTTTGTCTGTGATGAGATTGTCCAACATTCGATGCTATACAGGAGGATCGACATTGCATAAGAGTTTAGTACACTCTTCTTTGTTTCTAAGTAAATTTCCCCGTTTCTTAATATTTTACTTATATTACAATGTCTTCGAATTTCGGTGTTGCATTTTTCACCCTCTGTAAAAACACTTCCTCCATATTAAAACGTTTGTACAGTGGAACCTCGGTTCACAAATTTAATTCGTTCCTGAAGGCCGTTCGTAACCCGAAACTATTTTTCCAATACGAATCAATTTGGAGAAAAAAAGTCACGGTACAATAAAATTGGAAAAGAACAGCACGGTACAACACACGAATGTATAGAAAATGGCGGTCGAACTTTCATTTTTCCTTTAACAGTATTACTGCTAGCTTTCTTTGGATCCATGACTAAGGGCTAATAAAACGAGAAAAAAGGCACAATACAATAAAATTGAAAAAGAACAGCACGGTACAACACACGAATATATGCAACATGGCGGTCGACTTAGAAATGAATCCGTTCGGGTTAACTCGGTTCGGCTCGGTAATGTTCGAGAGCTGAAATTTTGTTCGATAACCCAGGTATTTTTCATCTCGAATTTTCCGTTTGAAAACCGATTTGTTCGACAGATAAGACGTTCGGGAACCGAAGTTCCACTGTACTTATTTGATTTTCGTGTCTCCAAATTTGTAGTTCCAGCCTTGGACTTTTGCTGACAACCATAGATTCTGTCTTCTTACAGTTGATGCTTAATTTTTTCTCCTGGTTTTTTATTACTACCTTCTGTAGGAGTTACTGTAGCTTCCATTCTATGTCTGCCATCAACACTGTCAATAGTATTAAAATTGTGGCCGCCAATAATGAATTCTGGTAGGACTTACAATTCTCTCAAGATCGCCACACTGCAAAGCATAAATAAATCCAGTGAGAAGATATGTCATTGCTTTATTGAAAAATAGGAAGAAACGTATTGTCAGTGGTCAGAAATTAATGTAAGCATTAATTACCAACAAAGTCAATTATACATACATACATCGCATAGCCGAGTAGTAAAATGTCACATAGCTGAGTTGTTAGAAGGCGTTTGGCCGAAGGGTTAGAACGTTACCGATCCAACCACGAAGCTGATTTCTCAAGGAAGTGACCTTGAATATATATATATATTGGCCTGGGAAGACGATCCCAGGGTTTGGCACCGTTGGAGAGTACCAGAAAACCATAACACGTGTTGACAATAAACGATGTGGGTTAAATTGGGTAGATTTAATTGTTCGGCAGCCGACGATGTTTGTATTAACAGGAAGTCACAAGTCATCGTGACCGAGGGATTAAGCGTACTGCAAACTGGTGATCATACGAGGTTATGCTCCTGAAACTTTACGGTTCGCTCAGTGTAGTTGCAGTATAAACCACAGGTGGCGGGTTTATATGCGTCGAACAAACACAGATGCACCAGAATAGGCATCTACAACATGAATTAGAAAGCCTCTCTCGCAGACACAGCCGGAAACGGGCTGCCAGCCATACGTCAATGCATCGCACATGATTTTACTCTAGTAATTCACTGTAAATAATCTTACTGTAAACATAAAATTACTGAGGGGCATCCCGAGGCGGTGTTAGCAAGCTTGTCTCGCTAGAACAGTTAAGACTGAGAAGTGAGTTCGATCCTCCCTGGGTGCCCTTACTTGTGCCACATCTAAGCTACGCTTGGAAAATCACTATTTAGGGCACCTTAACGTGGTGTAATGGTTAGCAAGCTCGTCTAGAACAATTACGACTGAGTAGCGTGTTCGATCCTAACTGGGTGCTCCATAAATTTGACCTTGTGCTACATCTAAGCTACGCTTGGAAAATCACTTGGAGCACATCGAGGCGGTGTAATAGTTAGCAAGCTTGTCTCGCTAGAACAATTACGACTGAGTAGTGAGTTCGATCCTCACTGAGTGCCCCATATTTTCGGCCTCGTGCCACATCTGAGCTACGCATGGAAAATCACTTGGAGCACATTGAGGCGATGTAATAGTTAGCAAGCTTGTCTCGCTAGAACAATTACGACTGAGTAGTGAGTTCGATCCTCACTGGGTGCCCCCTACTTTCGGCCTTGTGCCACATCTGAGCTACGCTTGGAAAATCACTATACTGAAAATTACTGAGACTTACGGTCATATCACGTTGAAACACCGTACGATCACTGAAGTTAAGCAACGTCGAGTCTGGTCAGTACCTAGATGGGTGACCGCTTGGGAATACCAGATGCTGTAAGCTTCGATGTGCGTGTGTGGTGTAGTGCTTAATGACTCGGAATTGTTAATCGGAGAGACGAGTTCCAATTTTAGTTGGGTTCGTTATATTGCCTTACGCACAAATGCTCTTGGGAAAGTCGAGAATCCTACGCTTCTCCCCCAGCTATGGGTTAATTAGTTATATTTTAGTATTACCAAATCATTATCATCTATCCCCCTCAAAAAAAGAATTCTAACAATGTAAAATATTTTCTGGCTTTACATAACCAGCAAAGGGCTGATAAGCTGTAGAAAACGAATCAATCAATCAAAAGTATGAACCGACCTTTTCTCCCCCAGCTATGGGTTAATTAGTAAGATAACAAGTAATCTGTAAAGGGTTGATAAACCGTAGAAAGCCAATCAATCAAAATTACTTTACTACACGAATTTATTGAAATTTAGAAAGAACAAATCTGTCAGTGGTTCGGAGTTTTGACAAATGTTAATAACAAAACATTTTTATAGGTTTGATCTAAACACATTACTTATTATTTCAGTAATATGTTGTCATACATATAATGATATTATAGTAATACATTAGTCATGTATTAATATTGAAGAGCATTACAAATATAGGAAGAAAGAAATTATTGACAAATTACAGCGCTTATATGTATAATATAAATGATGTTACTAATAAGTTTACTATAATATTTCATTGCAGATCACTTTACTACTGAAATTCATTGAAGATTATTTTATGATGGTGGGATATTGGAATTTTTTTTTTACTATAGATATAGATTGAAAATCAAGAAAGAAGGACGTGTCGATAAGAAATAAAATTGATCGAAACGTCAGAATAAGGATATTAGTATTATATTTTTATGTTTGCGCTTATCCGACTTCCTGATTTTTATTATGAAAATTTAATGAGCTGTGATATAAACCTGCAGCAATTCCCGGAATTATGTGTCGTAAGCTCTCAGAAAATGTACGCTTTGTTGGGGTTCTTTCTGTCAATATAGAGAGCTTACTTAAAAAAAAAAATGGCTGAATTGGTTCTCTAAGCTTACAATATTAACGTAAGGAGATCTCGCCACACATCTCAGCTTTACCTGGCGCCAATAACCTTACGACATGGAATATTCGAGAAAAAAAATCGAGAATCGAACACTCGTGTCTAGACTGCGGCCTGAAAGTACAGCAGATACGAACGATCGATTTTTTTTTTTTGTGAACGGTTCGATTGATCGATCGTAATTCCCGACCTTACGCTCACCCGCATCGACAAGTCCAGGGGTGTCAATTTGACAGACAGATCACACCTTACTTTTCGATAAAAAAAAAACAAAAAAAATCTGCTTCTTTCTTTTCGATAATCGATCAATTATGTTTATTCACTTACTGAACGATCGAACCAATGATACCTGGTGGTTTACACTGGAGATTGCCTGGTAGCAAGTATATCCAATAATCTAGCACTCTCCGCAGTATCATTACTGTTTTAAACAATGCCACCATCTTGATGGTTACAACACTTCTCCTAATTTGTAGATCTTCTAATCTTCTTCCAACCGTTTTCGGCACCGTTTACAGTGCTCTCATAACAACTGGTAAGACTGTTTCCTTCATTTGATTAACAGAAAATCTAAAAACAACAGCAACTTCCTGTCTTGCTTTATTATTATCATTATTATTATTTTATTTCCTTTGAGTTTTGGTGTGTCCTCATTTCTTTCCGGGTCCCGCCCACAGACCTAAGGTCAGAAATGGCATGAGGACACTTTTCCACGGAGCAACTAAGAACACAGACACACACATTTTACATTGATAAAGCCCTTCGTAAGGTGTGGGCTGTACTCATGAGAACAATTTTATTGTATTTCTTTAAGGCATGAACTACCAGGAATCCTTTCAATGAGTCTATTGGAATCTTTTCCAATCAATCCGAGGGCTCCAGCTACAACTGGAATTGTTAATGTCCTCATGTGCCACATTTTTGAGATTTCGATTTCAAGGTCCTTGTATTTTGATAGCTTTTTGAAGACCATCAAAGATATATTGCATTCTCCAGAGACTGCCATATCAATAAGGAGGCATTTCTTTTTTGTGGTCTCTAATAACGATATCTGGGTGATTAGATTTGATTGTTCTTTCTGTGTGTATTGAGTACTCCCATAAAATTGTTACAGGTTCTATCTCCATAGCCGGGTCTAAGTTGTGTTCACACCAATTTCTTGCAGTTTCTTCTTCTTCTTCTTCTTCTTCTTATTATTATTATTATTATTATTATTATTATTATTATTATTTGTGCGTGTTATTTTCCTGCTTAGTATCCTGCAAAGCCATGTCCAAACTATGGTCCTTAGCCTCTTTAGGAAAATTTACTTTTTTTAATAGTACTTTTCTTAATATATGGGATGTTTCTAGTAGGGCAATCTTTTGGGAAATTTGTATGTTGATATTACCTGGTTCACTGTTATTGGTACCGTCTCAGTCTTCATTCCCCAAATCCTGTTAATCTTGATTTCCAGGTCCTTGTGTTTGGACAATTTCTCGATAATTTTCAGGGAGGTGTTTCTCTTAGATGGTACTGCTATGTCAATAAACATACACTTCCTGAATTTCTTGTCTTTTATGATAATATCAGGTCTGTTGGCTTTTATTTCCCTGTCGGTTTGAATTGGCATGTCCCAGAGGATAGTTACATCGTTATTTTGGGTAACTGGGTCTGGTTGGTGCTCATAGCATCTCTCAGTGGTTTCGATTTTGTGCTTCTTACATATCTTCCAGTGCACATATGTCGCTACCTTGTTATGTCTGTGGGTATATTCATTTTTTGCCAGGTCGACAGTTTCATTATATTTTGCCCAGATCCTGCATTACGGGTTAGTTCCATCCTTGATTAAAGAATCTGGTTGCGAGCTGCAATAATTAGGCTTTCTGGCTCTGCTTCCAACCCGATGATCTTTAGCCACTGATGATTTTTCTATTGATCCGCATCTGCTGATTTCATTCTTTTTAGATATTTGCCATTATTATTATTATTATTATTATTATTATTATTATTACTTCATTCGTTGTCAACCGGATGTATTGCATTATGGGAGTTCTCTATCAAGTCGTACAGCCACAAACATATAACACCACTTGCTGAATATTTTCTGTGTCAAGCAACGCAGACTTCTGGAGCGATTGAATACTTGACTTTATTTCGATTTTCTTGATGTAGGTCATTACGTTCGGTCATATAGATCCCAACACTCCAATAATAACTGAAACCTATTATTATGATTATCATTATTATTATTGATTGATTGAGAGAGAGAGGGGGGGGCAGGACGCCAGTAAAGTGACACTAGTGAACAAATACACAAAGAGCAATATACGCATTATAAGACCCAGTCCGATAAGAGTACATCAGGCACGTGTATCAATGCCAAATGTGTACGATATGGTGACAGGTGTCGATAAAACAAGCGCATAATCTTGCACGTGGAGCCCATTTCGAAGTACCTTAAGTTGGCGAGCCCAATCTGCTCAGACAGTCTCTGATTGAAGGTGCGACCAATTATCTGGATATGTCACCCAAATCGCCTTGGCAGCCTTATCCTTGAAACTTTAACGAAAACAACCCACACAATAACCGACCATTACGCCCCGCCAAGAGCTTTCGCCCATAAAGATGCAGTCATTGTTAGTATTAGTAGTAGCATGTTTACACCAGATAACTGATACTTACCGCTAGAAAAATGGGCCATGACATGTAGACTCATGTCGTTAGCCCCTTCATAAGCGCACAGACCCACAGCACATTTCTCAGTATATATATATAATTATATATATATATATAATATATATATATATATATATATATATATATATATATATATATATATATATAATTATATATGCATATAAATAAAAGAAAGAACAGTAAGATATATAATCCGGTGTTCTTATAGATATTTTTATTTTTACAAAATAGTGCTCAATGTAAATTTACAGAGTATTAATGTCTTTAATTTAATTACACAATTAAATTCGGTGCTTTTAGCTTCCATTTTTTAAACATGGTTAGAACTGTGTAGCGAAAAAAAACATATTTTAAATCAATTAATTTATAATATATATTATATATATATATCTATATATAATATATATATATATATATATATATATATATATATATATATATATATATATATATATATATATATATATATATATATTAGACCCTTCCATTAGAAGTGAAAAGGCTTTCTTGAAGCTTTCATTTTATCTTTAATTGAAAGCGAGAGGATGGAATTTACTATTTCCAGTAAGCGAAATACTCTGGTGTATTTCAAACAGAAATTATGTTGTTTGGAATCGATTTTTTTCTAAAATAGCTGATTATTGCTCTTTTTTAATCATCTTACATCACTATGTAAGTCTCTTAAATTATCTGTAATAAAAAAAATCTTTCAAAAATAAAATACACATTTCTGAAACTTTATTCGAGATATATTAACTGATTTAAAGTAATTTGCTTTGAAACAAATATTATTTAGTTTAAGTTTAAAATAACACATAAATATATTTTTAAAACAAAGAGTAGTTGTGTTTTTAACCAACGTCGCCGTGTTTTACGTAATTCATTTAACGAATCAATATTTTTTTCACCGAAAAAAAAAGGGTATAAAACACTAATCGCAAATATTACGCCGACAGCTAACGCAAAAAAAAAAATTATACAAAATTTTGAACGTGCTAGGAAGGATTAAAAAATGTAATATAATAATAAAAAAATACTTTGGCCTTCCCTTTTAATAATAACAAACATTTTGAAAATAAAATTTTGTTTTTATTAAGTTTGGGTGCTTTTTTTAATAATGCTATGGTATTTTTTTTCAGCAAATTAGTGGAGGTACCTAATACTTAATATATATATATATTTGGCTCTGTTGAGCGAGGTTCAAAACCGGTTAGCTACCCCGTTTTTCAGTTTTACTTTTTATCTATTACCATCATGAGTGGTAATGAAAATAATTTT